GTGACGACTCCGGGCTGGACTCCGCTTCGTCCACGGTGAAAGCCGATCCGGTGATCCACAGCGCAAAGTTGTTGTATTTCCTCAGCAACCAGCACGGATCAGCTCCAGGCATGACGAAGCAGATATCGTCCTCTTTTGGAAGGCCAAACAAAGTAGTTTCGCTTTCACAACGAAGCACACAGCGTCTTCACGACATGGCGGCGGCGGCGGCAACAACAAAACTACAGCGAGAATAAAAGTTACGCCATCTTTCTTTGCGTGAACATTTGGGCGGCGTTATGCAAATCTTCCCACATCGTGACGTAGACATGTGGGGGCGTGTTAGAACGAGCCGTTTTAGGTAGGCGTGGCTGACTCTTAACTTTTATAAAGAATATCTCTTTGGATTTGAGACTTTAGTCTTCTTTAGTCTTCTTTAGCACCAAGAGCTTGTAACACTCCAAAGAGAAAGGAAAAATTGAAATCACATCATATGACCCCTTTAAACATTTATTATGCAATCTAATTCCACTCTAATTTGTAATCATGCAATCTACTGTTTTCGTGTCCAGGTCACACAGTATCTTCTGGATAAGACCTTGATTATGGATGAAGACACACTGTATGACTTGTCTCTCAAGATTGAACCCAGGCTTCCTGCATGAACTACAACCTCAGTACCTGGCAGCTTCCATCTAGATGTGCTTCTCACTCTTGGGATGTTTTGAAGGCATGAAGCATGCCTAGTGTTTGAGAAAGAGGGACGTTAAGCAGGAAGGAAAAATTTCCATTTGAAAGTGTGAGAAAGTAGAGGGTCCAGGTTTGGAGGAGAGTATTAAACAGTGCTCACCACCACAATGTCCCCTGAATGGTGACTTTTATCATGGAAGGAATGAAGGATGAAACTGGCCACTGTCAGAGGTCAGGAGTCATGAGTGAGTTTCAGGGTCGAGCAGATGGATTCAGTATAAATTGTGAAGAGAGTGGTTGAAGATATGTAGCATGTACAGAAGTAGAGCTATTAGCCAGATCTTATGTAGTGTATTGTGGCCCTTGGCACATCCCCTCATTGGTAATGGTAGTGACTTTGTGCATGAACTAGACTGTGGGTTTGCTGTGTGCTTTGCCTCAACTTTACACTCCATGTGCTGTCCCATCTGCCAACAGCTGGCTGCACTGAACCAAAATGCCACATGAAAATTTTAAAAGATGCATCAGACTTCTAAGTAATGGGAATGTATAGTAGCTTTCTAAAATACTAACCAGTTGTAGATGATATTGATATTTCGTAATAGCCCCTGAAGCTATGTGAGCTCTTTAAAAATCAGTTGCTTATTGTGCCTTCTCATATTCACAGACACTTGTAAATGAAAACCAATGTCTCAGAAATGCTTAAAAGTTTGGATATTATTGGCCTGTGTAGCAAAGTGATGACAGAATGGAGATATTCAAACTATTTAAACTAATAAATACAAGTATACTGTAAATTAGCATTTTCTGCTCAAATTCAGCGTAAAGGCCTGTTCACACCAAGGGCAATAAAGACATAGTTTTAAAAATCATTCTCAAGAGCAGAGTCCACGCCACAACTATTATGATACGAAGGACCGATATTGTTGGGATCAACTTTTTTTTCCAGCTTATGAATGATAAAAAACATCGACAGTCAATCAGAATACATCCTGCTTTAAAGAGCTTGAGCATTTTAAGAGGCAGACAACATAACTGCACCTTTAATACAATAAGCACCATTAACATTGTGCTTTGGTGTGGACGCTAATTTAGTTATCTTTATAGTTATTCGTTTTTTGGTGTGAACAGGCCTTCATTTTAAAACATCGTACTTTAATTGCTTCAGCGTGCAGATATAATCCACTTACAGTAGGTTGCATCATCCATGCATTACAAAGTACAAGTTGACATATGCTTGTGCAATGCAAACCTTTTCTTGTCTGATTTTACAGTAAATTGAGGCTTTGCCGCCCCCTATTGGAGGAAAAGTTTATTATTGTTGAAGGATTCTTAACCAAATCTGACTCGCAAGTTCTTCAATAATCAATGTTTTCCTGCTTTTTAATGTAATGACCCCACTGGTCAGCTATCCAGAAAATAGGGTCTCTCCATAATTTGCATGAAAAATTCAGTGATCGCATGTTTGGAAATTGCATTGCAAGACATGTTTTGTGGTCATGTGTCATTCAGCTGCTGTGTAGCCTCTTTTAAACTCTCTAGAAACCTCAAGTAAAACAGATACATACATATATTTATCTTCTCATCTGACTGCACTTCTTTATCTAAATACTTCTGATCATAATAGCTGGAGATTTCATATGCATAGACTGGCAGAGAACTGTCAAATTGGCCATAAATATATATCTACCACTGTGCTGTATGAAGACAATGTTGTTTTTGTCAGATCTTTCCTTTCTTCGGAGTGGGATGGATTTCTGTTCTTTATGTGCACGCGTGTGAGAGGCAGGAGAGCTTGTAGGTGTGAATGAGGTGAGTGGGTTGGAAAGGTGTGAGTTACACTCTCATCAATGTAGCGTTGTTATCTTTAAAACAAGTGTGAATCAGTAGTATTTATTTCCTGGCATATTTATTTGACCCTTTTTGTATATAGTGTGTCAATATGGATTTATGATATAATGTGATTTTTGTCCCCATCCATTGCCATGTAATGTTTTCATTTCAGCAAGCACTCTTGTTATTGTTACATTTTGCTAAATGTGTTAAGAAAAATGTAGCATATCTGATTAATTTACAATCCTTTGTCCTTTTTCGCTCTCTTTTTTGTGGGTTTAGTGTGTTGTGCACACAGAATTGTTGCTTTGGTATGTTGCATGTCTTTGCATGTTCAGGTTGGATTCCTTCTGTGAAATCTGCTTTTTGTACATTTCTGCATCAAACTATTTTTCCTTCCTTTTTATTTTATCACTGATTCTCTTGGAGAATGTATGGCTTCTGTAATTAAACTCCATGCTTTCATTTCAAATAAACAAATCAAACAAACAATGGAATCTACAATAAACTATTAATCAAATGATAGATTAGATATCAAATCAGATAGATAGATACATCCATGATACGTCTCTCTTGTTCCACCACCTCCAGAAGGTGCTATAGGATTGATATCTGGTGACTAGACTGCCATTTGAGTATAGCGAACTCATTGTGATGTTTTATGTTTCTCAAAACTGAAACGGTGAGGTGTAAGATCACAGCTTCAGTTCTCTAGTATAAATCGGCCTCTTCAGAAGGGTGTGGAATGTGAACACATTAGAGTGTTATAAGTGTCCAGGCACTAATGTCAAGGTCTCTCTTTCTGCTCATAATCCTACAGAGGAAGGGAGGGATGAGCACCAGATAATGCACAAGCTCTTGGGCTGTGCAAATCAAATACCAGTTTAACTTTATCCCTCACACACTGTCCCACTAAACAAGTGAGCTTTATATATCATGTGTAGCCACATATGACAAAGTACAACATTTAAAAGGGTATTTTCTCTGAAAATGGAGACACGTAATTAACATTGTAAAGTTTTTTTTGTAATACTTAGCAAATCTAAACACGGACGGTAAAATAATAATAATGGTGGGTGAAAGGTAAACATATGTATGTATAGTATCATAGTCACCAGCTGTGTACAGTATCACTGGCACGTAACTGGAGGTTTCCACTGGTTAGGGAGAACTCAAGGACACAGAGACGTGGTGTCATGCTGACAGATGAAATAGGATTGACTGGAGAGATGAGCTCTTATTTTAAGCACAGGCCCAGTGAGGTCTCACTCTACAGGGAACAGTCTGCTGTACTGAAGCGTGAGACCCCTTCAGTCCTACAGGTGAGTACAATAAAGCATTCGCTTTAACAATCATTTGTATTTGTATAGCTTTATTATTGACAGAAATGTAAAGAAACCAGGAAGCTAGATGCCAGTTGCAACAGTGCTAGGTATATTTTATGACAGTCTGGTTCAGTGTGTGAACTTTTTGATACTAATCTGTTAAGTAATCTGAAATGCAACACAAGTTCATCTCTTTACCAAAATGTCTGCTAATAATTAAAAAACATGTAAAATAACGTGTTTTCCATTTGCAGAAGCCTATACCATTTTTTATTATTTTCCTATGTTTATATAATGCACACCATTACATTCTCAGAATGCTCAAGAAGTTTGACCATGGCACAACCACCCTGTCTTATTGTAAGCCCCTCTACGTGGTCACAGGTCATGTGATTATTGTAACATATCCATTTCCAAAGTTTGGACACCATTGCATAAAGACCATTTGCTGTGGATCCACTTTCAGCTGTAACACTGTAGACAGCGTTGACCTCTTTGGCATACAGCTACAATATTTGGAACCACTGAGACCATAAATTCCTCAAAGGGACCACAAACTGAGTATTTTGTAAAGAAGCAGGATGGTGATAACATACTAGTTAGGATAATGGTGAAAAAACAGTATTAGCAAGTAGGCCTATAGTCTCTACTAAAAAAATAATAGTGTATTTAGATTTGTTGAAGTGTTGTGTAAGATTTATCAAAAATGTTTGGGTAAAGTTTTAGAAACCTGACAACTGGAACATAGATGTGACGCACGGGCTGCACTGCTGGTACTGGGGCATGTAAATTATAAGCTGGCATATATTACTGTGGCATCAAGTTCAAAGCCGATGTATATTTGGATACTCCTCAGTGGAAAAAGTCAACATGTATGTCAGGACACAGAAGTTGCTCACCGTGTCAAACTACTGTATCGACAAGTAGAGCACCTTTGATTAACACTGATTCATTCAGTCATAATGTCATAATTTACATGTCATAATTTATTTTCTGACCAGAAATGAAAGTATTTTGTAATGTTTTCTCATCATGTTTATTCGTTCATTGAAAGTCCACACAACCTAGATTTGTATGCATCAAACTTGGTAAAAGTAATCCATATGAAACGAGTGGTTTAATCGAAGACTTCTGAAGAGACACATCGCTTTATATGATGAACAGATTAAATTTATGCTTTCATTCACATGACTAGAACACTGAGCAAAGCTCTAGAAAACACGCCGAGTTTACCTTATTTCATGAGATGTGTGTTGATCATTAGGCTCTTTGATGAGTGAAAATCTTGGTTTGCATGTAGACTACTTTCAGTGGACAGACAAAAATGATTAAAGGATATTTTAAAAAATCTTCATTTGCTTTTCAAAGATGAATACGAGTCTTTTGGAACGGTTTGGAGTTTGGAATGGCATGAGTGACAGAATTTTCATTTCTGGGTGAATTATACCTTTAATTTTTTGTATTGGCCATCTAAGACATGAATTCAAATGGTTGAGTAAACCAAACGAATAAAAGATATAAAGGTATTAATATCACTGAAATTAATTCACAAAAAAATCATTGCTCTCGAGTTCGAATCCTGGCTCGATGACCTTCTGTCTCCCACTTCGCTTCCTGTAACTTCTACACTGTCATACACTAATCAAGTAAAAAAAAAAAAACGCCAAAAATAAATATTTAAAAAAGGATTATTCAGTCACATGAAAAAGCAGTTTATTTTACCTGACAAAACATTTTTAACACAAAAATTAATGCTGTCCTCTGCTCTAAAGTTAAAGTTGATGAGTGGCTGATCGAGTGGTGAGGATGGCAAGCATGTTCACTCGAGTGCTGTCTGGACGCAACACGGCTGTGATCATGGCCGGCCTGGGTGCGGGTACCCTGGTATCCAGCTATATCATGATGATTGAGTCAGGAGTCTCTGCTGGGGAGAAAAAGAAGCTGTACCCACCCAGGTGAGTAGGAAAGTTGACCACTTAGTTTCCCGTTATCCTGAGTACTTAGTTTCCAGTTAACCTTGGTTTTTATCTTTCCAAGTGCTGACTACCCAGACCTGCGCAAACACAACAACTGCTTGGCTTCTGCCTTGACTCCTGCTATTTATGGCCAGCTGAGGGACAAGCTGACCCCCAATAACTGGAGTCTTGACCAATGCATTCAGACTGGAGTGGACAACCCTGGTCATCCCTTCATCAAGACTGTGGGTATGGTGGCTGGTGATGAGGAGAGCTATGAGGTACAAAACTGGGCCAAACGGCAGTCAAAATAGGCTTTAGAAGATATTAAAATCATAATTCTCGTATTAAGGCTGCCTTCACATGCTATTGGAAATGTTCTACTTCCCACTTTTGAAGGTGTAATTACGAGTTTGCAATATGCACCAAATAGTTATGTATATACATAAATATATGCCTGTAACAGCAAGAACATACTTATTATAAATGTAATAAATGATACAGTGGGGGAAATATTAATTTGATCCCCTGCTTATTTTGTAAGTTTGCCCACTTACAAAGAAATGAAGGATCTGTCATTTTGATGGTAGGTTTATTTGAACATTTAGAGATATATACAGTGGGGGAAATAAATATTTCCCCCACTGTATAATAAACTTATAAAACTTTATACTACTACAGTTTCTCCACCATGTTTAAAGTTTATATTCCACTGTGATAGAGAACTGCACAAGAACCATAAGAACACAATAAAAACAGTGATGGAAGACAAGGCCTCTCCATCACTCCCACCCAACTGGGAAACTCAGGTATCAAAAGTATCTCTGAGTTAGTTGTAATATGGCTTGAAAGGCTGTTCATGTTTAATTTCCGACTAGGAATATTTAATTAGGAAATGATAATTCCGATTGCACGTAAAGGCAGCATTAGCCAGTAATAATTGAAATATGAGGAGCAACAGTGCTGATGATATTTAATGAAATTTTGGCTCCATTTTTGGACTTTTATATACCAATATGTTTGGAACAAGAGTTTCCTGATCCAAATTCTTTATCCAAATTAGCTGTTAAATTGTAAAATAATGTTTGTTGTGCATTTTAGTGCGTCATTTCCTACTTTTTGTTTCATTTATATAACTTACAGTCTTAAAATCGACCTTAAACATATTCACTATTATTTGAAATATAAATATTAAGCCAACAAAATTAAAATCGACAAGCGACAAAATTATGACATATCTTTTTGTCACAGGCACAATTTAACTACAAAATCTTTATGAGGCTACTAGTGGCAATGATATGTTTTTTTTTTTTTGTCACAAATAAAAGAAACAAACTGCAAAATCATGTAATTTCATTGCTATAGTATGTTTAACGAGTAATGCAGTTTTTTTAGAGTTAAGTTTTGGACTGTGGTCACTGTGAGTCTAGTTTGAAGACAGCAATATTATAGTCAAAGGACTATATATAATATACAAAGGAATTTGTGTTCATTTTATAATACAATAAGAGTAGTAGATAATTATTTTATTGTCCATGGTCAACTCTGTCAATTAGTGGCATCAAAATTAAGTAGGCTACTTCGACATAAATACAGTACATGCAGATGAACTTTATCATTGACTATGGCTGTGATCCTCAGGTTTTTGCTGAAATCTTTAACCCAGTCATTAAGGACAGGCACAATGGCTATGACCCTACAACCATGAAGCACCCAACAGACCTGGACAGCTCAAAGGTAAAGGTTCCTCTGTTGTCTTTGGTTCTGATCCCTTTTTACAAACTCATTCCATCGAGGGCTCATGCAAGGTGAGACCTTGCTCAGTTTAGTTACACTGAAAACTGAATGTTTCTACCAATGGCCTCTGAACAGATCACCTCCAGGATGTTTGATGAGAACTATGTGCTGTCATCACGTGTGCGCACGGGCCGCAGTATTCGTGGGCTCAGTCTGCTTCCCGCCTGCACTCGTGCTGAACGCCGTGAGGTGGAGCGTGTGGTGGTCCAGGGTCTTTCTGGTCTGAAGGATGATCTGGCGGGCAAATACTACAGCCTGACAGAGATGACTGAGCAACAGCAGCAGCAGCTGATTGATGTAAGTACACACCAGAAACACATTTCAGCATAAGCTCACTGTAGGCAAATTACTATGGAAGCAGACACAAATATGTCAGTTGCGTTTATCCAGTTTTTCCCGGTTTTCAAACTTCACAGACCTCCAGACCAGATATAAAATCATACTAATTAAAAACGTTATCTTATATAATGATTTTTCTATATTTTATATCTTATCTGCAGATCACCTGCAGTACCTCCACAAACCTTGAGAGGTCCCTGTTTAAAAATCTTGGCAGTATGTCATTCTCACATTCACAGTAAAAGACAATATAGCAATAAAGCAAATATTAAAGCTTAAAATTAGCAAACAGAACAAAGCGAAGAGTGAACATTAGCATTATGTGTGGTCACAGAACCTCAATTATATATCATACTGTCATCATCATGCTGAAAAGATAATGTTTGACCAGCATGAATTTCCGTGATAATTTATATTAGTGCTAGTTTGATGCTTTACAGCACTGCAGTGATGATAGTTTTTTGTAGGCTAACCAGGAAGTTAGGAAGTAGGATTTTTACATTGACGTTTGGATTATTGCAAAACAAGCTCTGTGACTAAAGTTTATGATTTTTACCCTTTTTTCATCATTATATCCTGAACAAATGAACACAACATTAAAAAGCTAAACGTAATCTATAAACAAAGTACACCACAGTCACATGACTTTAACGTCATCATCAGTTCTGAACTTCTGACAACTCTTTCAGTCTTTATTTAAAAACTTTGAAAGTTTCTTTGAAAGTTTGAGTCTGAATAGTTTACTAAAGTGTGGTTATAAGCACAATGAGACTGAGTTTAGAGTTTACTTTAAAAGAAACTTAAAACTTAACACTTCAGAAACTTAAAACTTTTTTCAGTATTACTGATGGATTTTAAGATATTGAATAAAACGTGAAGATATTTTGAGCTTGTGTTTAACCACAGACTTTATTTCAGGCTTTTAAACCCATTCAAAAAACCCATTGACCTTAGAATTATGGAACCGGAAGTGCTAAAATGCTGCATTTCCAGGGTTTGGCCTACGAAAATACATCATCCCTGCAGCACTCAATTCTGTCTGGTATATAAACATAGTAATACTGTTGACACTTAACAAAACTTCCATAAACTAGCATCCGTTTACTAGCATAAACTTCATATTTGCTGGTTTAGCGACTTTTAGGAACACTAGCCCAGTATCCATAACATGACACATGCTCGTCTTTTCATCAGGGCCGTTGCATCCCTTGCGAAAAATAAGTTTGTTCAAGTGTGCTATTAGTATACTTCTTTTAAACCAAAAATAGGAAAGTATACTTTCAGTTTACTTTGTATGTACTTCTCAGACATGGGCTTTATGTACTTCTCAGAAATATACTTAAAATGACATTTAAGTATACTTGACTTATGCTTAGAAAAAGTCTAAATATATTTGAGCTATACTTGTGCTCCGAGAATCCATTTTCATTGTTATATGGTAGGGGGCGCTATTACACATCTTCTGTACGGAATTTCCAAAAAAACACAAGTGAAGAAGAAACGAAACAACTGCCTTGTCCAAATACCCACGCTTGTGGTCTTTGCACTTGACCACTTGACTACTTATATGTATATAAGTATTTGGTCCAAGTGTTCAAGTGAGGATGAAGACCACAAGTGTGTGTCGAACTTTTCATTACCTGATGGGACACACTTATAGTGTTGTAAAAATGCAAGTGTTTACATAGCATTATTTTAATTTTAATTTTAAATACTTTGCATTTTAAAATCAACTTCTAAATGTCTGTTCAGTCAGTAGTCCCTATAGCATGACACAATTTAATTTGTGGTGCTTCTAATTAAGTGATAAAAAGCAGTTGCAAATGTTTACAAAATAAATATCACCACTACCCATCTTTACACCAATAAAACGTGCAACACTTTGCTTTTCTACCAAATTATATGTAATATCTATTTATTATATTAATATCTAACTTACACTGGAAAGGTTTCCGTTACCTCTTACGCGATCTCGGCAAAAAGTCTCATGATTTATTTCCAGAACATGATGCATGATGGGATACACTAGTAAGCCTGGAATAGCGCTCCGGAGTTTGGATTTAGTGTGCGTTAAGGGCACTGTGCTTTGGCATTTTTAAGACCTGGGACAGTCTTGCGCACTTACTTCCTGTCGCGCGCAAGCACTCTCAAGTGGCCAAGACCAAAAGTGTGGGTATTTGGGCAAGGCAAAAAGATGCTTTCACATGTAATCTAACACGATCATTAGACATAAAACAGCATCAAAACTGTGTAACGTTATGGAATAAAACGTCGACCAATGAAGAGGTAATAATGACTGTCAAGCTTTGGGGTGTTGATCGACTTCATCTATGTTTTGATTATCATTCTGAATCCAATTAATAGTCTTTTTTCAGATTTTTGTTCAAAATGTTGTTTATTTCTTTATTTTTTTGTTTATAAAACTTACCCACATTCAAGTGTTTATAAAAAAGAATGCATGAAGCTAGAATAAAATGCTTTTTGTTTACAAGCAGATACCCTGTTCTTTTGATGTTTAGTATGTTCACATATTCATATAATAAAAGATATACAAATTAATACCTAAATAGGGACATAGTAGTATACATAAAGTATGATGTAAAGTTCACTTAAAGAAAACTTACGAGTATACTTGCAGTATAAAACTACTAAACTAGTAGTTTACTGAGATTATACTTCAAAGTGTACAAAAAAATTCTTCAAGTATTTAATTAGTATTTATGACTGGTTTTGTGGTCCAGGGTCACATTTATCCTTAAAAGGCGCATATTAGTACTTTAAAGATACATATTTGTACCTCAAGTATATATCAGTACCTTTTGAAAGGGTACCACCCCAGAGACAGCTTTTGTATCTTTTTTTCTGAAAGTCAAATCTTTTTGCCAAACGTCAGATCTAGTCTGCAGATATTGGGCAGTCAGAGTTTAGTTTAGTCTATTTCATTTATGTAACAGGGACCTTGTGCAACACAGTTGTTATGCCATAGCTTAGAAGCTCATTTGAATCTTCTGGCTGGGATGATATTATTTAAAATTACGACACTACATTACAATAAAAAAGATTTGAGAAGATTTTAGAACACATATTGCTTTCATTTGTTATGCATTTCCTGTGTTCGAGACAGCTTGAAAGTCGCATTCTTTGTCCTCGTGCACAAACGGCAAATAATCAGACAAATTATAATTTTACTTTGTGGCATAGATTTGATAATTACTGTTCAACTATTAGGCCCAACTTTCATGGCATGGCCAAATTCCTTTTCTTGCAGTAAATTAATGGTGTGTAATATCATAATTTAACCATAGTATACAAGAGAAACTTTTTTATTTATCTCAAAACCAATAAGACTACAGGACCATATATAAATGTGCCATAATGAAGAAGAGGAAAATGGAGGTCCTGTACACTCAAGTGAATGGCTGTTAGATGGAATGGGCTTTTCAGTAAATGTTGATAATGATCTGGCACTTCCAGGTGTGTTCCGTTGATATAATTTACTAGGCTATATGTTGTGTTGTGGATCGTTATTGTCAAAACTATTTTAAGATAGGGGATATTGTATGTGTACAGGAGCATAAATCAAGCATAGCGTTAGTTCTGGCAGGTCACGTTAGTCAAGCTCGCATCAGCTGACCTTCAGCTGATCCCCATCTACCTATGGGAATACGACACTTATCTAAGCATTCTTATATAAGGTCCCTCAGTATTATCAGCAGTTTTCGCATTGCTCAATAGCTAATTACCCTCCTCCATCCCCAACTACTTCTTTGTCAATCATCTTTGACGATAGTGGTCCTGACAGAACTATGAGAAAACATAAAAACGTGCTGCAAACGTGCCTTTATTTGTTTTATCAGTAGTAATTTAAATATCAGACAGGCAGCACCCCTCAAAAGAATACCTCACGCACAGCCTGAAGCCCATGTGTCAGTGTGATTAGATGGTTCACGTGTGTTTAATCCACACATAGTAGGCTAATAGAAACAATGAAATGAATACCACTGTATTACGAGTGAATGAGAGAAATGTGTCCTTGCAATCTTCATGCTATATAAAATGTTAGCATTTATTTTGTTTATATTTCATTTAACGGAGGTATTTTTATTTCTTAATAACCTTCATAACAAGGTCCTGCACACTGGTCTCAAGTAACTGGTTGATTTATTCCTAAAGAATCCGTAGCATCATGCACACAAAACATTCTCTCTAGTTCACCAGCAGATGGCAGTATGTTAACATGTGATGAACGCATGCAGAAGGCAAACGCCATAAAATGTGTTTTCCATAATAACATTTACTGTTGTAATAACTTGAATATTATAACCCAAATTTAGCGTATTATATAGATAATTTATCAAGGTGATACTACCAGTTTAAAGGTGTTATTTACTCTCAAAATATATAGCCTATACAACAAAACCTTTTTTAAAGTTGTATTTTATTGTTTTTAAGAATTAAAAAATTTAACTTGTTACAAATATATATTTTTAAAAAATCTTAATGAAATAAACATAACAGACAACCATAAATGAGTGAAAAATATTAAACCCACCTCTAAATACTTGCATATTAATGCACGTTCACCTAAATTGCTCAAACCTAGAATGGGACAAATAATTGAGCTTTTCTGTTGCTTAGTTCTGTTTTAATTCAGGCTGTTTTGAGATTATGGCATGTAGCCTGTCCCAGTCTGAGACGGGGAGAATCCTCCTGCTGGTCACGGATGTGTGCTCTGGGTGGATAAAGATGGCATCCCGCTGATGTCTGTGACCTTCATGGTGGCTTACTCCTCTGCCAGCCACTGATTTCTGATTTAGTGCTGCTCTTGTCAGGAGCTGTGAGGTGCTTTCCATGCACCGACAGAGCAACTCAAGGGCAAGTGTGGACAGGCTGGGTGAATAAAGCAAACAAGGAAAAGCAGGGAATGGCTTTTGTGCATTAGAAGTGCATTGTGTATCTCTCTGTCTTCATACTTTTGTTTTGTTTTTTTGGTAAGGTTATGACATAATTTTTGTTTTGATTTTGATGACCATAATCAGATACATGGCCAAAGTGGAGCATGGTATTGTGAAATAGATACACATGCAGCCTTCATTTCATTCATAACTCAAATCTCATCTTTGTGCATATATCACTGATTCATTAGCATACACCCATATCCATGGGACCATGTTATAAAAAATGAAGAATAAAAAGAACGTCTTCAGTGGCCCTAAGGGCTGACTATTAACTGAAAGTAGATTTTTCAACGAACACTTTTGACAAAATCTCATTCATTCCATTTAAAGAATCTCCTAATTGTCATTATATTCTGTTTTAATCATGAGACACTTGTGCGTTTTGCTTAAAGTGATGCAATACACCAGTGAACAGAGCATGCGTTCACAGGGGGACCAGAGAGGCAGAGGGTCTCTCAGAGCAGATGCTAAAACTGATGATGATGGATGTCTACATGGAGACTGTTGAATGATCAGGGGAGTCTTGTGTAGATTCTGCATTTTCCATTGTTTCATGAAATCTTATATGCAAATTTACAGGGACAATTAGTTTCACATCAGTGCGGGAGAGTGGCAATTTCAGATTTCGCTTTTTACCATGTGTTTTATATCATAAAATATGAATGTAAAAAAGAGTGGAATAGTTTTATCTGTTGCTACAGGCATTACAGTAATTATTTGATATCTGGTTACATTTGTCCAGGTCTGTCTGGGTCTTCTGTCATTTGATAAAGGCGATTGCTGAAGTGACAGTAGATGGTTCTTCTCACAGTTGAAAGGAATCTTTGCTAAATGGACACAGTCTGGCCATTGTATCGGAGAAAAGATCAAGCAGATGTTTGTGGGCTGTTCCACCTCCCCAGTGGTAACGATTACAAACCACACAAGGTGATCAGGAGAAAAAAACATGCCACACTAATTGGTTACAATTTTGCTTTAGATATTTGTCTGCAAGGGGCTACAAGCAGATAAGCATACATCCCTACAGACTTATTGCAACTGAAATGTATGAATGCAGTAGTAATGTGCAGTATCATAAGCTATCTCTGTAAAATGTGTTGTATGCTACATCTACTGTATAATTATGTTGGTGTTTTACTGCTATAGAAAAAGCAAAGGGTCTTATCAAGGGAGTAATGTGTCTTACGTTTCCCAAATTTTTCAAGGACCCTTCAAGGAATGTTATGCTTCTGTTTTATCTGTCCAACTGATGATCCAGGGTAGACGACCACTAGTATTTACATCTTCCCATGAGCTGTAAAATCTTGTTCCATAGAAGAATAATTTCACCTCAAAATAAAATGTAATGCCATAATTTGCTCATCTTAATGTCGTTGCAAATCTTTCTTCAGGGGAAGATAAAAAAGACAACATTTTAAAGAATGTTGAACATTGACTGTCATTGTTGGAGAGAGAAAAAAAGTAATTTTCCAAAATATTTTCTTTTTGTATTCCTCAGAAGAAGGCCAAAGAAGTTTGAAATGACATTCGTTTTCATCTGATGATGATGGATGTCTACATGGAGACTGTTGAATGATCAGGGGAGTCTTGTGTAGATTCTGCATTTTCCATTGTTTCATGAAATCTTATATGCAAATTTACAGGGACAATTAGTTTCACATCAGTGCGGGAGAGTGGCAATTTCAGATTTCGCTTTTTACCATGTGTTTTATATCATAAAATATGAATGTAAAAAAGAGTGGAATAGTTTTATCTGTTGCTACAGGCATTACAGTAATTATTTGATATCTGGTTACATTTGTCCAGGTCTGTCTGGGTCTTCTGTCATTTGATAAAGGCGATTGCTGAAGTGACAGTAGATGGTTCTTCTCACAGTTGAAAGGAATCTTTGCTAAATGGACACAGTCTGGCCATTGTATCGGAGAAAAGATCAAGCAGATGTTTGTGGGCTGTTCCACCTCCCCAGTGGTAACGATTACAAACCACACAAGGTGATCAGGAGAAAAAAACATGCCACACTAATTGGTTACAATTTTGCTTTAGATATTTGTCTGCAAGGGGCTACAAGCAGATAAGCATACATCCCTACAGACTTATTGCAACTGAAATGTATGAATGCAGTAGTAATGTGCAGTATCATAAGCTATCTCTGTAAAATGTGTTGTATGCTACATCTACTGTATAATTATGTTGGTGTTTTACTGCTATAGAAAAAGCAAAGGGTCTTATCAAGGGAGTAATGTGTCTTACGTTTCCCAAATTTTTCAAGGACCCTTCAAGGAATGTTATGCTTCTGTTTTATCTGTCCAACTGATGATCCAGGGTAGACGACCACTAGTATTTACATCTTCCCATGAGCTGTAAAATCTTGTTCCATAGAAGAATAATTTCACCTCAAAATAAAATGTAATGCCATAATTTGCTCATCTTAATGTCGTTGCAAATCTTTCTTCAGGGGAAGATAAAAAAGACAACATTTTAAAGAATGTTGAACATTGACTGTCATTGTTGGAGAGAGAAAAAAAGTAATTTTCCAAAATATTTTCTTTTTGTATTCCTCAGAAGAAGGCCAAAGAAGTTTGAAATGACATTCGTTTTCATTTTAGGTGAACTATCCCTTTAAGAGGTCTTTTAAGGAAAGCCTTTTAGTCAAGTTTTTCTTTGCATTCTTTTGTTTTATCGTGGCCGTAAAACCAAAATTAAGCATTGCATCAATCTAAATCATTATGTTTGTTTAAAATATTTTGAAACATATTGCACACAATTTTCAGTGTTGTGAGGATATATCAGAATGTATCACTGGAAAAAAATATGTTGTGTTGACTATCAAATGACCATGATTATATCCTTGATCGTGAAAATAATAAAATAGCCTATAAAATAAGGATCAGGATTTGTGCCAGGCCATTCTTATTTATATGTATATTATGATAATTTTTTCTTTTTACTTAATGTCAGGGGGTAAATATTTATTCCCATTGACAACATGGCAATGTCAAGCAATTCTAGAGAAGGGGTAAAAATCTGGACAAATGATTCATGAACTTGAGGATTATTGAGCGTCCCTATTGGGCAAAGCATGTCCTTCCAGAATGTTGCTTTAGAAAAAGTCTGCTAAATTATAAGATCACTTCAGACAAACATATGTTTGAATTCCAAATGATTTCCACCTCTCCAGTGGTAACGATTACAAACCACACAAGGTGATCAGGAGAAAAAAACATGCCACACTAATCGGTTACAATTTTGCTTTAGATATTTGTCTGCAAGGGGCTACAAGCAGATAAGCATACATCCCTACAGACTTATTGCAACTGAAATGTATGAATGCAGTAGTAATGTGCAGTATCATAAGCTATCTCTGTAAAATGTGTTGTATGCTACATCTACTGTATAATTATGTTGGTGTTTTACTGCTATAGAAAAAGCAAAGGGTCTTATCAAGGGAGTAATGTGTCTTACGTTTCCCAAATTTTTCAAGGACCCTTCAAGGAATGTTATGCTTCTGTTTTATCTGTCCAACTGATGATCCAGGGTAGACGACCACTAGTATTTACATCTTCCCATGAGCTGTAAAATCTTGTTCCATAGAAGAATAATTTCACCTCAAAATAAAATGTAATGCCATAATTTGCTCATCTTAATGTCGTTGCAAATCTTTCTTCAGGGGAAGATAAAAAAGACAACATTTTAAAGAATGTTGAACATTGACTGTCATTGTTGGAGAGAGAAAAAAAGTAATTTTCCAAAATATTTTCTTTTTGTATTCCTCAGAAGAAGGCCAAAGAAGTTTGAAATGACATTCGTTTTCATTTTAGGTGAACTATCCCTTTAAGAGGTCTTTTAAGGAAAGCCTTTTAGTCAAGTTTTTCTTTGCATTCTTTTGTTTTATCGTGGCCGTAAAACCAAAATTAAGCATTGCATCAATCTAAATCATTATGTTTGTTTAAAATATTTTGAAACATATTGCACACAATTTTCAGTGTTGTGAGGATATATCAGAATGTATCACTGGAAAAAAATATGTTGTGTTGACTATCAAATGACCATGATTATATCCTTGATCGTGAAAATAATAAAATAGCCTATAAAATAAGGATCAGGATTTGTGCCAGGCCATTCTTATTTACATGTATATTATGATAATTTTTTCTTTTTACTTAATGTCAGGGGGTAAATATTTATTCCCATTGACAACATGGCAATGTCAAGCAATTCTAGAGAAGGGGTAAAAATCTGGACAAATGATTCATGAACTTGAGGATTATTGAGCGTCCCTATTGGGCAAAGCATGTCCTTCCAGAATGTTGCTTTAGAAAAAGTCTGCTAAATTATAAGATCACTTCAGACAAACATATGTTTGAATTCCAAATGATCGGTCCATAACCTTAAAATATGTGGACAATTTTTCATTTTGAGCTATATTTTTTGTTTCTTGCTCCTTCATCTTGAAAACTACATATGGACTTGGCAATTAAAGTCACTCTTGAATCATCTGGCAACACCCTCTATTTATTTAGCTGCATTTCAAAAATCTTCTGGACTTATAAATCACATACCATACTGAAATTCTTAAAATGATTTTATTCACCCACTTACATAAACCTTCCCAATTCTGTTGCATTTTTTAAGATAAACATTTACAAAAACCATATTCCAGTAATAAGCACAGACAATAAGTTAAAACATATCACAAACATACCAGCAGATAACAATATTTTTTTTTTCTTATCTACACAAACACTCAAGTTCATTTTGCTTTATGTAAACAACTTCCTGTTGATCCTGGTTGAAATTTTACATGCATCTGAATCTGATTATTTGGAAATTGGCTCTTACTCCAACGTGTTCAGTTCTGTACCTGAAAAATCACTCCAACATGTAGTACGTGCCGTAAAACAATCTGTACATGCACACATGTGGTCCTTAATAACGCGTCCTTTTACATTTAGTTTAGTTAAAAATAATATCACCGATCAGCGAAATAAATATGCTTGCTGTTGTTTCTTCATATATGAATGAAGAGTCAAATAAATACTCATAAATAAATAAATAACTCGCTGTTATTAAAATCAATAGCTATGAAAACCAAATAAACATGACCGAATCCAACAAATAAATAAATTACATACATTTCAAGCATTAAAACTATTACTAGAGTCTACATCTGCTGTATATAAGCATTGTCTGGGGTTTGTTTGGGTCCCATCATCCAGTAAGGCTGCCAATTTGTAATTTCACAGTTATAACCTCACATCCTGAGTGCTCCGTGACTGTTTTTCAGGAATACTTGGGGTTTGCAGTGACAGAAAAGACGTCTTGGATGCTCAAATTAGGTGAAACTCATGGAAACGGTGTGCTCAAGTGCTTTACGGCGCAGCGAAGCGATACTAGTCCCTCTCCACATATCACTGTCCGGCGAGCTGCACAGCTGAGGGGAGCCGCTCACATTCGTTGGACCCGAGAGGGAAGCGGGCACCATCCCTGGAAATGTGGGTTGATACAGATGCGATTGAAGACCGGAACCATTTGACGATAAGCTGCTGGAAAGGCCCATGGAGTTTGGTGGGGGGCCGGCTCCGAGACTGCACTGGGACAGGGACTGTGCCATCGCCTGCTGTCGGCCCAGCGCAGGCGGTATCTGCAGCTGTGAGACTCCAGGCATCCCGGCCGTGGCCCAGCGCGTGTCGTTGGCATGAAAAGAGCAGAGACTGTCGCCCATCGCAGCCGCAGACGGAAACTGATGCAGACCGTGTGTTGGCAGCAAAGTGCCCGGCGCCCGGAAAACGTTGGTTGTCTTCTTGCGCTTCTTCCATTTTGCGCGTCGATTCTGGAACCACACCTGAGAGGATAAACAAAAACAAACACTTAGAAAGTCACGCGTTTCGTTGGTGGGTATGAATTATAGTTGTATAGCCTAGGCTACTTTTATAACTTTATTGCACAGATATTTTGCTATAGGTTATACTAAACTGCATATAGGCTAACAATATTTATTTGAATTTAATTCTAAAATTAATAAAAAATAATTGTGTTGAAATAAATTAATAACATTTAATAAATAAAAACATAAATAAAATATATAGGCTAGATTACCGCACAATTTCTTGCAATAGCCTAGCCTAAGTTTGTGGGTAAAAGGCGAGCACTTTTTTTTAAATGCAGAATTGAGCCACTGTAAATATGTGGGCTTTGTACAGTTGGTTCTTAATGAATGCTGAAGGTTATAAACATGCACCTGCTTGTTTTTTTGTTGACGCTATGTAAAATTTAAAATATTAGGCTATATTGTCTTCACGGATATAACAAGCGGGAAGGTAATTTCAAGACAAAAAGAGACCAAGCAATTTCTATAATGTTTTGCAGACAGCCGGCGATGAAGTCGTCACAGCTGATGGCACATTCTAGGAGACAAATAGTTTGATGGCCTCCGTAATTCATCATGGAACCATAATCATGAATTCATGATGAAAATAAGTGCACAAGCAGCGTCCAAAATGGATATTATCCCTTCTTATTGTTGAGGTATTTTAACATTTAGCGTTTGGCTCATACGAATTATTATTGACACCTTACTATTATTTTTATTTTTTTATTTTATTATTTCTATTTTGCATATTTTATACTGCTGTTAACGACACAATTCGTATTCAGCTTCTACAACACGTTTTATAAAGTATTGTCTAATAGGGCATACATTCTGTTGACGTTGATGACTTGTTTCTTTGACGAAAATTTTGCAAATGTACTGTTTTTTTTCTTTTCGTTTGAGGGCATGTATTTCACTTTTTTTAATGGCATAAAAGGCGGTTCCATGTATTATACTGTTCTTTAGAGAGATTGGGAGGCGCTTAATAGTTGGATGAGCCCGTGAGCTTCCACAAATGGGAGCCAATCAGAATTGAGGGTTGAAAATGTCAGCCAACCAACCACTAAAATCCACAAACCGGCTTCATCTGCAGTTGCTCTCGTTCATTTCAAATCTGATTTATTGCGTCGCCCCTTTATTAGCTATACATTTTAAATGACTTCATAATCATGGCAAATAACCAGTGAATAATAACTCTTTCTGTACTGGTAAAAGGAGGCTTCACAAAAGGTGGAAAAGTCTAGTCTTTATAGCCTACTACTTGACCGACTTGGGATGCAATATCATTCCATCTAAACACATGGAATAGGGGGCACTTTTTGTAAAGACACTATTTGGTTGTAGCCCTACTTTCGAGGCCCTTTGCGAATCGAATGCAGAACGCGGGTCATATTTGCTTGTTTTCGTGTGAAGAGACTGAACACAGGGTTGCTATGGGTGCTGTGAGCTGCTTGTTTTTATTACCTTCATGTGAGTTACAGCTTTATTTGAGTGGAATCCATCTATCAAAAACGATGAATTCTTTGAGGCAGCTAACAACACATCCAAGGTACATTTCCAACTAGTCATTTTCAAGACCATTAAGCATTTGAAGTAATTAGTGCCAAATCTATGAGCTTTCATCTCAGTTATTACAGTGAAATCTGAGTAATGCGTGGTAATTTTACTGTGTTTAGATATATTGCAAGAAGGCGTTGTAAATCATGTTTGAAGAATTCTAATTTATTTCGGTAAAGGCTTGAGCTGAAACAGGCTACTGATGCGTACTGATGCCTCAGTTGTATCGATGTTTCATCAGCGCTGACGCAAGTAATTTGATTTATTTAATTCAAACTCGCTGACATACATTGCCTAATTTAATCCATTCAGCGAAAGCACATTCACCAGGCTGTCAAGTTTTCAGCGTGTTTTTGTATAATCAATCAGTGCTCCCTTCGTTTTGTGGCATGAATGTGCACGACCAAGCTGTTGGACTACTGAGAGTAATTAAGAAACACAAAGGATATGGGAATCTCGAATATCACTAAAAACCCTACAAATGCTGGATGGGTCTAAACATCCGTTCAGATCAGTGTAATATTTTTGTGCAATATCAGTAAATAATCTAGGCTACATAATCACGGCGGTGGATGACATCATGTTTATATAAAAATATTATAACTTAATATAATGACAACAATAGATTTGTCTGTTTATTATTATTATTATTAATTATTAACCCATAATTACTGGTGTACGCATTCTTTTCTGGCCATGCAAGTTGGTGATAGTCAATTATATTGAAATCATAGCTATCTCTGCTCCAAATGGTTTGTTATTTGAAAGGTTGCCATTTACAATTTACTGTAATTAGAGAAGGAATAATGTCGGTATTTATTATTATTGTTATTATTATTATTATTGGCTGTAAATGTTGCAGTGTTCATATATAAAATGTAAACATGATTTTGAATGTGCTTTAATATGCTTCTGGGTGTTATTTTATTATTTTCACAGAACAATTTCTGTTGATACTTACCGATTCCATCCATGAGGAATTCTTATTTATTTTGTGTAAATGACATTGCGGTTTGACATAAGTTGGATAATAGGTCCAAAGAGTTCACCATATACCGTGAAATAAGTGAATTGGAAAGTAACACAACGGCTCCTCCATTCAAGCAGACGCGACCCCCGTCGCATCTCATACTGTGATTAGACTCGGTGCCCTCCATGTGGACCCGATTTCAACGCGAGTTATCTGGGGAGAATACAATTATGGCCCTAAATAAAATAATCAGCATTGGACGGCGATTACCGTAATGAAATGGAGCTTTGGTGTGTCACGGAGTGGCTGGCCTCCATTACGGTCCGTAATGAGACTTTTGGGGGTAAGCACGACAATCATCTAAACATGAAAATGTGTTTACTTCGATGTCCACGTTTGCACTAAAACTTTGTTCTCGAAGTCTAAATGCAAGGTTTAGTCCTGGTTTACAGATGCATAATTCAGTTCTGGGCCCTATGGAAGAAGATTAGTCAAGTTTACTCTGACACAAAACCTGTGGAACAGTAATATAGCCTAGTATAGATATTTTTAAAAATTAAATGTAAAAAAAAAAAATCATATTTTGTAATTTGTTTTGTTTGAAATAAACAGTGAAGTGAACTCCGTGTCAGACAAGCAAAGGAATAGGGTGTGGTAACTAATATTTAAGACAATGCATATACTGACTATTCATTTAAGAAAGGCCTTAAGCGGCTTGCGAGAAGGGAGGACTTGGGTCAGTGGTCACTCCAAAGTGGGAACATGTGCTAGTAATTATTAAATTCCAGCATAATCACACTGCTAATGCAATTTAATGCATCAGCAAATTAATCCTGAAAATAATTAGTTTCACTGACCTTGTACATTGCAAGACGAGAGTGAAACAGTAATGCTTAAATGCGTCAAACCACACCCCTTCCATAGAAAACTCGATGTGAATGAGTCTTATAATTTTCATAAAGCAATAAAAATAGGTATATTAGGCCATCTCTCAAAACGGCGATTTTTACAATGTATCATGTCATTGACAAAATTGGAGAAAAGTGCAAGTGAATCTGTGAGGTCTCTCAAATGCTTGATTGCATTATGTGGAAGTGAAAACATTTCGCCTGTTTTTTTTGTTGTCGTTTATTGTCTTCGCCTATTATATTCGTTAAAAATGAATGATCTGAACAGGTGTTTATTTTACATTTACCTAAAGCTTTACCCATGTTAATTTAAATTGCATTAAATCTGCTCGTTTTGTCAATATGCCAGAAGATTCCAACCCATTCGAACTACCGTGTTGCGCCTGAAAGTTCAAAATAAAATAATAAAAAAACTCGCACTCTGTATGATAAATCATAAAGCCTACAATTTGACTCCTATACTGATGATACAACTTCAGCAATTTGCGACCCAGCTGCAAGCCCATTATCTATACAGACCGAGGCGGTTCAGCTCCTTTCTGCTCATTCCACTAATCTCCTGTCTCCACTCCATTTATTTGCCACTTCTCTGCTGCTTGTCCACAAAAATACAACTCTAGCGCCTCCAAGATTAATTGATCGTCAATTTAGCTCTAATTCGGACCAAGTCAGGTGGTAAATGGTCTACTTTTACTTGATTGTAACTGAAATGTGTGCAGGTTACGTTGATATATTTTGATTACTTATCAATTACGCACAAACGAGATACATTTATTGAATAAATTGCTGGCTGATTTTTCTAATAGAGTTTGTAGATATCACTATTGATTATAAATGCGCACTAATAGTTTCTTTCCGGATTTGCTTGCTAACTTTTCGGAATGTCAGCACAACATTCATTTTTCATGAAATCAGCAGGGCGCGTGGGCAAGCTGCCATTAGTCAGGTGCATTATGGGGCAGATCTTCAGTAATGTGTGTTCTTTGCTCAGAAAGCCTGACATACTTTGTCACACTTTGTGTCAGTTACAAATAATTTCAGTTGTCATTGTTAGCATATACAAAGCTGAACTCACCAAATGAATATCTCATCTACGCTGCTTTACTGCAGCTTTGAGAAATGCAGATAATCCACTTTGAATGAAGAGTTGCCCCAGTGGAGGCATTTTATTCTTATACTGAGGCACTTATGTGAAACATAATAAATGGATTCGTCGCTTCTTAATTCAAAGAATACATTTTTGTTGGCACAACAGTAGCCAAGTGAACAATTTTTTGGCATTCTACTATAGGCTAGATGTAGATCTAGATGCGTCATTCCCTTTCTAAACGTAAAATATAGGCTCCTCTGTAACGAAAACGAATCATACATAGGCTATTCCACTGGAGTAAAGTCACTGATGTTATTTCTTAGCTACTGTAGAAGATTATTGGAATATAGAAAACTGTACATAATCTTTCCAAAAAATATATTATTTTATCAAGCCAATATAGGCCTATTTGTTGGCCTGTAGCACATCTTGCACCAACCTGTAGCAAAGCTACATCTGGGGCCCATTTTACATTTTTGTGTAATCAAAATAAAATCGATATTACAAATGCGCACATCACGGAGGAGAACTAACAACACTTGTAAATCCTTGAAATGCGCTTAGCAATACTTTAATTTCGCCATACCACCCTCTCACCCCATTTGTTCTTCCATAAGAACATATTCATTTGTATTTATATAACTGCACTGAGACATGATTTGCCAAGTAATTGCCTAGCACGACGTTATTTTTATCTGAGGGTAGTAGGCTATAAATGAAGTTGGACCACACATCCAGAGCGCTGCGCTCAGCGCGCGCTGGCTTTTATACAGACCTTCATATTTATAGGCCTTAAATGGAACTTATTCTCCATCATTATAATGCACAGGAAAACAATGACTAAGAAGAAGCGGAGATCGTAAATCGCTTGTTTGGGAAGTTGGTGACTTCACATGAAGTAACAGACACTCCTCCAGGTAGGCTGTTTTACCACTTCATTTTATATGCGCAAAGAAGAATTTCGTATCTATTGATAGCATTTTAATTGCTACCTTATAATCCCTCCGTGTCCTCCTTTTTTCTCATGACCCCTGATTATTAGTATTTTCCTTGTTTTCCAAACTAATAAGTGCCACCATCAAGCACTTGGAGGCTCCCGGAGGCTGCAGACATGCTGCTCGGTGTAATTGATATTGAACGAGCCGGTGGTAGGAGCGAACTGTTGGCGCTGCTGGATAATTTGCAGTTTAATCAGCGATTGTAATGAGAGTCGCTGATTAGGGGCCGTTTGAAAATAAAAGAGAGTTACAAGGAACGTCTGTCAGGGTCCGAAGATAATTCAGAAGTAATTGTCGTGATTAGGGAAAACTGGATGAGTGGCTTATCCTAGTACACGGAACAACCAAGGGGGCGGCGAGATTTCATATGACCAAGTCAAAGTAGACTTATATGGAAAAACAAATGAAGGACAGCACGCAAATATACAGTAGATTAGTAATAGTTAAAAAGAGTTACGGGTTACTACTAAAGTGGAAAACGAACTTTAATTCATGGGCCTCAGTGAGTCTATGGTAGGCCTACATGCTAAATAACAAAGTACAGAGGGCCGCATGAATGCAGAGAGGTGGTTGCACTTTGCATGACGCTTAAATGACAGCTCTCTGTGAGCATATTTTAACTCAAACCCAGCGTGGCTCTTCGGGCAACCAATATGTGCGAAAATGTGCGAAAGAGCACACATCTAAATGCAGTCCTGGTGTCCTCGCAGAGAGCGCTGTCTGAATATCAATTACACCATTAGTGCGCATGTGTGTTTGACTGTGGAAGAGAAATTAGTGACGTTCGGAAAGGGGAGAGAATGTTACTGCGGTTACGGCGAGAAGAGCAGGGCATCAGCTGGTGGAAATGAACCATTGTGACACCTGCAACCAGTCTAGTTAACACACACACACACACACACACACACACTCTCCTAGGACATAAGGAAATCACACACAATCTGACA